CCTACGCGAAGTTTCTGTTACTTATTTATGTGAGTATATAGAGTGAACACTATATAATCACCCTTTTATAATCACCATTTTTGCTCGGAACATCTGTATCAAGAATGCAAATTTTTTTGTTTAAATTACAAATTTTTAATTAAACTAATTAAACCTAATGGTTCTTAAAAACTGTATTGTTAGCATTAGTTAGATAGTGTCTTAAATTAAAGCTGTTCTCCAAGTTTTAAAGATATACACTTAAATTTCATAAAAAAAAAAAATTCTTGTCGCAGCTGATGCTGAAAACGGCTGATATTGAAATTTGGAGTCTCGATTTGAAAAATATAAACCCTGCTAAAATTCACATATACTCTAATTATCAATTATAATCCTAAATATTAACCTAACCCTAAAAAAAAGCGGACAAAAACGCCCCCAAAAAATTTAAATTTTCATATAAAATTTCAGCATCAGCTGCGACAATTCTTTTTTTTTTATTTATAAAGATTTAGAATTCCAATTATATGCAAATAGTTATAATAAACAACTTAGGTATTGCGCAAAGGCTAGGGTTGTTAGTGGGTTGGGTTGATCTAATCTTCAACCCATTCCATTAAATTGAACCTTGCTCCATATTCTACTCCGGGATGCTCAAGAATTGCTCCGGGTTGCTTATCCATAATAAAATTGCAAAGCTTAGCGTTAGTGATTTTATTTTATTGCAGATCCATCAATTCAATTAACAAGGGCATTTAATTTGAATCTTTATTCAACTTATTCTCACGTATTAGCTCAGGATTAAAAGAAAAACCAGTTTATGGAACACCATAAGATTACGCAGTCACTTATGAAGGTATATAATGACTTATGTCGATATATTATTTCTTTTAATTCTTATTAGAATGTTGGAATTCGATACTTGATCAACGACCAACTATTGAAGAGATTGTATCTAATCCTGAAAACATTAATGTAGATAATGTAATATCTGTCGATGAAACTGAACTTAAAGATGGTGGAAATAGTAACAAACTAGTTACAACTAACATTATTCAAAAAATTAATTAGTGAAATTGATGATGATTCTGTGCTCCAAATTTCTAAACATACTCCAATTTGAGTTCAACCCAGAGTGGCTCCATAGTATAACATTCCATTAACAACCCTAGCAAACATGATTATTGAAGTTCCGGTGATTTGTAGTTGGAACATAAATAAATAAAACTTTAGAGTTTTAGAAATTAAAGCATACAGTACTGTTTTTATTAGAACTCAGTGGCAGTTATTTAAAAAAGCGTTTGTCTATAAATTCCTAAAAAGGGCCTAATCCTAACGCGTTCGCCTATTTGGACAATTAAGGTTTATCCAATCAAAAATTTATTAAATACGAACGTCCGAACATATTGATCACAGATGTTGGTGAAACTGGTGAAATTCCTGGCGAGTGGTGGTGAAACTGGTGGAACTGGTGAAGTTGAATATAGCATTATTTAGTTTCACCTGCATCTACGTATAGTTGATATTGTATCCGCTAGGGAAGCAACGTTAAAGTAGAATGCTAGTATAATAGTTATGGAATAATGTATAAACGTTTGAATGAATAAAATTCAAGATTATCAATTTTTAATCAGTAACATCTCAAACTCAAATTTTTAATTCTAATTTGACACGACAGTCGTAAATATAATTAAATAATTTTAAATAAGTTTATGAACCGCAAATATCCAATCTATAAATTAACTTTGGCCACAAACAAATTTTATATTCAAGGATTCAAAGTTTAATTTATTGAACAGAGCTGAAGGGATAAAATGAAAGCTTTTAAGTCTAAATTTTTCGAAATGTCTGGTTTCCTGTTCAACGGATCCTGATTTAGGCTTAGCACCCAGAAATTAAACCTAAATGAGGTTCAATTTTGGATACCGAAATCTTGGTTAATAATAAAAGAGCAACAATCTTTTAATATGAAAATCTAACTTCGCTAGACTTATTTATCGATCAATTTCTTGAATATTAGATATCAAGAACGTAACTATCTTCAAATATTTAATTCGTCATGTTGAAACCACAATAGAAAAATGAACCAGTAAAGAGAACGCAATACCTCTTCCCCTTTAAAATAGATAGTTAATATCGATATAACATCAGTGTCAATTCAGAATATTAAATAGACTTTGAATGTTGGAAATTTATATCTCGCTTGAACAACAAGAATTGAAATTAGAGAACTTTATATTTTTAAGTTCATCAGGTTCGTATGGATCTTTTTTTTAATTGATTACAAATGTTAGGATATAATATTTATTGATAGCAAAGATTATTCCAAAATTTAAATGCTACAACCTATAAAACATCATAATTTTGCTAGTTTTTAAAGTTAAAAATATTGGATCGAATCATAGAATTATAATGTAGAGGCAGGACCACCGAACTAAAAAAAAAAAAAATGTCTATTCTGAATTCTGTTTTTAGATTGCTTCATATACAATTACGAGCTAGTGGTCTAATTCGAATATATAATAAAGAATTTACTTTATTAATTTATTAACGTTGATAACTGCTAAGATTCATATCCATTTACACCAATCCGGTTTGAAATTTCCCAGTTATTGCCCAAAGAAAATACGTAATAAATTATTTAACATTGAACAATTATCGTAATACCCACCCATCTTTTATCTCTTTTGTGGACTAGAAATTGAAATCCAGTGTTTTTATATCATTCACCTTAATAAAAAGAATCTAGATCACTGTAACACGATATGTCACCGAAAAATGTAAATGCTCCACAATACCCCTTATCATAATACTCGACCCTCCCTTATATTATACAATTTACTTTTTGCCATTGTTTTTTATTTAGGACAGGATGTGATTTATTATATAATAAAGACTTAATATGCATTAACGTTAATTAGAATGCTAAAGATTAAATAACATACGAGTGTAATATACAACGTTTTTTGATTTGGTTTTACATATATACATGCTTTCTACTTCGATATAGAGTTATATAACATCCATATTGAATAGTTTTTTGATTCTAAAGTTTATTTTTAAATCATCTTTTAAATTATGTTTTAAATTATGTTTTAAATTATGTTTTAAATTATGGTTTAAATTATTGTTTAAATTATGTTTTAAATTATGTTTTATATTATGGTTTAAATAGTAGCAAAACTATTTTCACCACCATCATCATCAAAATTTACGCCAAAGAAATTGTCCCTTCTTTCTGGAGGTTTATAATTATTTCTTTCTTGTTGCATATATTGTAACATAACCAAATCATGATTTGGCATTATAATATTTTCTTGTTCCAGTTCCTGTGTACTTGGTTCCTCTAGAAATCCTGATTCTACAAAATCGTTTACTTCCCTCGGTTGCTGTTGTTGTTCAATATCAATAATAGTCGTTTCGAATACGTGTGAATCCTTTGCACCGTGTCCTCGAAACGTTGATAATGTAATGCATATTGCTATAATGCCTATTATTAACGTTATTATTGTAACAACGATTATTACTATTATCGTTTGTAAGGGTGGTAATGGTCCATAAATGGTTTGCATTTGAGTTGGTGCAGAAGATGGAATAGTTAGGGTAGGAAAGGTGGTTGTCTGGGAAGTAGTTGTGTTCGATGTTAAAAGAACATAACCAAAAGATTGGGCATAAATATTAGGGAAAAGGGATAACAAGGTGAAGAAAATAA